CTTCTAGCATAATGTTTAAAAATCTTACTCTGACTTCCAAAGCTCTCGATGTTTAAGAGATTTATATTCCAATCTAGTTCTGCCATTATATAACCTTAGCCAAGTCACTTCCCCCTCTCTGAGTCTCAGTTTTCTCATCTGTAAAATTAAAGATTGATTCTTTTCCACAAAATGTTTCTATTCCAAAATCAGGGTGATTCTCGGCCTCTTTCTACCTGTATATTTTTGTTAATGCTATATTTTAGTCTTATTTTAGGAAAGCTAATTTAGGAGACGGTTTAAATGAAACAAATATGTGAATGATTATTTTTAAGCCTGAATTATACTCATGACATCCCTTCTATGTTTTTTATGTGAGTCAAATTTTTTATTTGTTCATTTCTTGCATTTGTAGTACTCGTCAATGACATCTGTGGTCTGAGATTGTTTGCCATAGTCCTTAAGCACTACCCAATTGCAAACAACTGCTTTATGCAGTTTTCCCTCTCAATCAATTTAACAGAGGCCTACAAATTTCCCTAATTTCTTGTCATCAACTTTAATTAGGTTGACTTGGTGTTCAGTACGAAGGTTCTCCACTAACTTCACATACATAGGCTCCTCACAGTCAAATACAAACTCACAAAAATGGGTTTAGCACTTGCTTAAAAGTTTGGCAGCTTCACAGATTCCATGTGTTAGGTCCTCGTGGCTGAGGGTGATCTTCAGCACCTCTTGTAAAACACTACTACAGCCCATTATCCACACCCCCCACAGTGGGTTAGGGTGCAATTCGAATCCTGAACACATGAGAGCTTCCACCTCCAAGTGACCAGGTGGCAGCAGTGAAAGCTCTTTCATGTAAATAGAATTTCATTTCCCTGTGTTACAGACTGTCAGGACAAATGGCTGTTTTTTATTGTGTAACTCACTTTTCTGTAGTCTGCTGTGTTTACCTTTTATTGCACAAGTAACCTCTTTGAAGTGAAATTAAATTATGGGATAAACATAACAAATATGCAAAACTATTGTTCCAAAGAGAAAATTGAGTTTTCTATTAGTATAATGAATTTCATATAGCAGCTGTGGATGTGGTCATTAGAAACTAAGCCCATATTACAGGGTGTTGATACTTCAGTGAGAAGCCAGTACTATCACTTATAAATCAAAATTAGGTGAAAGCAGTGACCATTGTGAAGAGAACCTAAATCTCTATACTGTAGGGTTAACCATAGAGTAAGGCTAAGTGGGAAAATAATGTATTATTGACTCAGATTCACTTTATTATAGATTTGCATGGCTATCAGAGTCTATTTCTGCCTTTTTTATAGAACAGATATCTAGTCAAAATATCTGGATTCTGTTGGCCAGGTAGCAGATATGGAGAGCATAAGCAATTGTTGAATGTAAGCCGCAATCTCTGCAAAACCTACTTGGGAATAATTCTACCAGATATTTCTATAAAAATCCCATTTCTCATGAAATGTACAACCTTTTGTTTTCTGTAATACTACTGCTATTTGCTACTCTTACTTTGATACCTGTTCCTTCACCATAGTAGTCATATGTTTTTTGGATTAGGTCAGGTTGATGGAAAAAATGCTTCCATTCAGTGATATATTTAGAAGAGGGTTCAAGAAGTCCTATGGGATTAATGTGGTGCTGCCAGAAGAACACTAAAAGTGAAGCTGTTTTTGTAATGTTATATGCAAGTTAAAAATAAACAGAATGATTTGATTGTAGGGAAGGAGGACTGTAGGGAATTCTGGGGCCCTTTTATATGTTTTGTTCCTGAGTTGAAAAGGATAATGTGAGTTATGGGGAGCCTTGACTGAAACTTCATACTTAAATCCATTTAGGCAAATAATGCCAATGACAAGATGTAAAGCTATGCTATAGCTTTCCTATATAGGACTGGATGGTTCAGAAGACACCTAATAATTTTATACTGTATCTTAGGCTGAAGAAACAAGGGCACAGGGCAAAGCAAGTGCCTGTATACTAGATTAGAGGTTGTTGATATACTATTTAAATGCTGCCCCTACTTTAGTACCTCAAAACTTGGCATTGTGCAATTAATATCAAGTAGAATTGAAAGGAAAATGCTATTTTATTGGAATACCACACTCAGTGAATGGTCACTATTCGGGGTGCTACCGTCTTAATTTTGGGGATAACTGAGCTTATGAAGGAGAAGTAGAGTGGCAAGAATCATGGATTTAGGCCGGGCATGGTGGCATATGCTTGTAATCGTAGCACTCAGGAGGCTGAGGCAGGAGGATTGCTGGGAGTTTGAGGCCAGACTGGGATACAAGTGAGTTCAAAGCCAATCTGAAGTGCATAGTGAGGGGCTGGGGATTTAGCACAGCGGCAAAGCGCCTGCCTGGCAAGTGCAAGGTTGTGAGTTCAGTTCCCGGTACTGGAGAAAAAAAAAAAAAAAAAAAAAAAAAAAAAATTGAGTGCATAGTGAGACCCTGTCTCAAAAAAGATTAAAAAAAAAAAGAATCATGGACTTAGAATTTGTCTCAGCTTCTTAATGTATTCATTTTGTGCCCTCAAGTGTCATATAACGTTCATGAATTTGTTTCCGTCTTCATAAAGTGAGGATAATCTCTGCTGACCTTTAAGAATGGTGGCATAATACTTGTCATATATTAGGCTCTCAGTATATGTTTGTACTTTTATTATTTATTATGCCATGTGTTGAGTGTCTGATACATGCCAGGGTAAATTGCCCAGGCTGAGCTCTAACGCATGTTCTGTCTCAGCCTCCGGAGTAGTAGGGATCACAAGTGTGTAGCACTAGCCCCAGCTAGATAAATGCTTTTCAGTTCTAGCTGTAGGTCTGTGTGATCCCCCAGAAACTTACTATTTTGTTTAGTTTCCTATATAACTCTAAGACAGAGCTAGCCAATAGAATTACCTTTGATGACTCGGAGGAGTAGAAAAATTAAAAGTCACTACAAATTCTAAATGACTGCCATAAGACAAGCTGGTCCCAGCCGGGCATGATGCTGCAAGGCTGTAATCCCAGCACTTGAGAGGATGAGGCAATAGGATTGCCCCAAGTTCAAGGCCAGCCTGAGCTGCATTGCAAGACCTTGTCTCAAAAAACTAAAGAGAGAGAGAAAGAGAGAGAGAGAGAGAGAGAGAGAGAGAGAGAGAGAGAGAGAGAGAGAGAGAGAGGAAGTCAACATCTTTGGGTCCCTGTAAGATGGGTAATGATGATAGGGAGGTTGAAGATTTTAAAATATTCCTGTGGTATTCTATAAGATATTCCTTTTGTACTCCCTTACACTGCAGTAGAAAAAATATGGTCCTGGAGATACAACTTAGTGGTAAAGCACTTGCCTAGTCATGTTCAGTACCCTTGGTTTGATCCTCAGTACAAAAACAAAAAACCTATAGAGTTTTCGTTGTTGTCATTGTTGTTTGCAGTGCTGGGGGTAAAAGCCTTGCCTTGTACACATTAGTACTCTACCACTGAGCTACATTCCCAGTCTTTTTTATTATTTTTTAAATTTTGAGACAGGGTCTCACTAATTTGTCCAGGTGGTGCTTAAATTTGTGATCTTCCTGCCTCTGCTGCCCTCAGTGCTGGGATTACATGTATGCACGACTGCAAGAGCAAGAGAGACATTTGGAGCAGATTATATCTGTCCCAACATACTCTCTCTGTCTGAGTATATAAAAATACTCCTGACTACAAAGGAAAGTCTGATTACTTCCTGCTACTACAGTAGTACAGGTTCCTCAGCACTGTGGTATCTCCTATGAATTTCCATCACTACTTTCTTAATTTTTTCATTTCCTTTTTTACCATTACTTTTCAAAATAGATATAATTAATTGTCTAGCATTTACATTTACTCAGTGTTAGCGACATATTGATGTGACAAAACACCTGAGAAAAACAATTTAAAGGGGAATTTTTTTGGTTCAGGGTTTCAGAGGTTTCAGTTCATGGTTGGCCAGCTCCAATGCTTTCAGGTCTATGGCAACTTATAAACATTGTGGCTGAAGGGTGTGTTCTGAGAAAGCTGCTCACCTCATAGCAGCCAAGAAGCAGAGAAAGAGCAAGGGGCTAGGGACAAGATACAGTCCCCAATGGCCTGTGTCCAGCACCCTACTCCTTTGAACTGGGACTCACCTCCTAAGAGCCCATTCAGCCATGAACTTATCAAGTCCATTGATAGAGGTGGTACCCTCATGATTTAATTCCTTCTCTGTACCCCACCTCTGAACATTGCTGCATTGTGGATCAAGCCTTCAATGTATGAGTCTTTGGAGATGCTTTGTATTTAAACCACAACGCTCAGAGGTAAAGCTATTTCACTGTATTTGTCTGAAATTGAAATAAGATGTAGTAGTGGAGGCACATACTTGTAACCCCAGCACTCTGGGAGCATCACAAATTCGAGTCCAGCTTGAGCAGCTTAGTTTTTTTTTTCTTCTTTGGTACCAGGAATCGAACTCACAACCGCAAGCTTGCCAGGCAGGCCCTGCGCCGCTGAGCTATAACCCCGGGTACTTACTAAGACTCTGTCTTATAAAAAGTCAGAAAAAGGGCTGGGGATGTAGTTCAGTGTGAAGGCCCTAGGCTCAATCCCTGGTACAAAAGGAAGAGAAGGGGGAGGAGGAGTGGGGAGGGAGGGAAGGAAGAGAGAGGAAGAAAGAAAAAAGGAAAGAAAGAACATTTAGTAAAATCATCTAAATAAATGAATTATTATAATTTTGTGATTTTCTGGGGGGGCTATTGTTTGTGTTTTTTTGGTAGATGAAGCTATCATAAATCTGTTTCAAGGAATTGTTCCTTATTGTTTGAAGAAAGTAATCCAAAAACCGCTGTATTAGTTGATATTTGTTATGGTTTTCCAAATCCATTATTATTATACTATTGTCATTTTCTGACCTCCTGATTCTTTCAAATATTCTGAAACATCATAAGGTAAAATGTTTCTCAACATTCTTATTATTTGGCTTGCCTCTTCTTCTTTACTTTTTCTATATTTTTGGATGTAGATGACATTATAATGCTTAAAAACTTAGGAGATGGGAGCAGTGAAGAAGAAAATGACAAGACTGAGATCCATGTAAAAGAGCCAGCTTCAGGACAGCAATCGGAAGTTTGTGAGCAACACTTGCAGAGAGGTAAAGTACACTAAAAATCATACGATATGCGTTAAGTAACAAAGGCAAGCAAAATTAAGAACTTGCAGTGTTGTTCTGAAGTTGCATCATGTTACTTGTTTTATTTTTCCTGGACATGGACTCATAAAGGGTTGGTAAGAATTTATAACAAGTCAAATGAAAAAAATTAAATTTATATGAGTAGTTTCCCTAAGGGAGGGCAGGATAAGAAAAATAGTTTTATAGACTAAGAAATATTGTATACCTGGGTGGCTAGTCAAATTCCAGTGTTAGAAAGCAATGTCAGAGGGTTAAGAACAGGTCTATAATTTGGGAATCATGGTATCCACATTCTGTAAAGGGGATGTTGTTGGGAAAGCAAAATGGGTAAAATTTGAAAAATGTCCTCTGGCCAGACATGGTGGCTCATGCCTTGTAATCCCAGTATTGAGGAAGTTGAGACACGAGGATCTTGAGTTTGAAGACAGCTTGGACTACATAGCAAGTCCAAGGTCAGCCTGAATTATATGGAAAGACCCTAAATCAAAACAAAACAAAACAAAAGTCCTCTGTAGCCCTAACCACATCGGTCAGTGCAGCGAGCATATTTTAATACAAATGTGGTGTGGATTGCTGTAGTAGAAACTGTTTCTAAAACTTTATACCCAAAGCAAAACATAATCGGGGCAAATATCCATATAACAAGGCAAAGCAGTGTTTCTCATCATCTGTCTTTTTTCTACTGGAGTATTCATTCAATTAATTTCAGATAACATATCCCAACTTTGGTGACATGAAATCAAATTTGAGGTATTGTATATGAGTAACCTAAAAAAAGAACTTAGCCTATGGCTTAGTTTTGTCATTACTGAAACAAAATACTGATACCCAAAGTTAAAGGAGGAAAGGTTATTTGGCTCACAATTTGTAGAGGTTTCAGTCCATAGGTGGCTGGCTCTAAGGCAGGGTGGCACATAGTAGAAGGGAATGGTGAAGGACAAATAGCTCATGGCAGGGGGGCAGGAAGCAATGATCCTGCCTTTTTTGCCATCTTTCTGTTGTTTTATATTCTATTCAGGCTACAACTCTATTGATCGGTGCCACCCACACAGAGGATGGGGCTTCCCTCAGTAAATACATTCAACCATACCCAGAACTATGTTAATCCAATCAGTGGACTTATCCAGATATCACCCTTAATCGATATTCACACACCCTAGATCCAGCCACCTCTGAAAAGCCCCACCTATGAGCTCATGAGGCTTTGGGGGAACATCTACATACAAGCTATAACACCATATTAAAGTAAGCAAATAGAAATAGTATAGCAAAGACTGTTCTAGAATTCAGTGAGATTCCCAGATATCAGATTAATTAAATATTAGCTGTCTTGCAAAACCTAAATATATAGCTTTAAAAATGAACTCATAGAGAGTATTTTGGAAAGATATGTAGAATTTACTGATTGAACATACAAAAAAATAATTATTTTTCAAAGGACATGCAAGAAACATCGAGAAAAGAAATGATGATAGAAAACCATATAAAGAATATTCTGCATCCAGATCTGGAGGAAGGCCTTTAAGCCAGCAGCCTTTACAAAAGCAGGTAAATAAATACCAAAAATTAACTGATAAAAAGGGTCCCAAATTTAATGTATGTATCTCTTAATACTAAGAATTATTTTAAGCAGGGTGTGTTGGCACATGTGGGAGGCTGAGACAGGTTGATCATCACTAGTTCAACACTAGCCTGGGCTACATAGTGAGTTCTGGGCCAGTCTGAACTATGTAGCAAGACCCGTATCTCAAAGAACAAACAAACAAAAGAGAATTATTTTAAGTTATTTTGACAACAGGGATTTTTTTTTGTATTCTTCCCTGTTGCCTTGAACATAATTTAAATTCAATATTTGTTAGTTGAATCTTTGCCTCACTGTTTTAATAAACATGTGAAGTTTTGCTGTTTTCGGTCATCACTATAAAGTTTGAATTTATAAGATACTAAAATAGATTATTGGTTCTTGTTATGTATTCTATATAATCAATCTCATTTTTGTCCTTATACAGAGTGTCTAGTTTTGTTATAGTATAAAAATAGTTTTAGTAGCCTTGTGTATTAATTGAGAAAACCGGTGAAGTCAGGTGAAATAGGATATGAAACATACCCCTGGAATCAACAGGTGGGACACAACGTAATGCAATCCACCACTTCTAAACTTGTAGAGCTGAATTTGTCACTGGACAAAAAGGTGGTAATGTTTCAGCTTGCCGTAGGTATAGAGTCTTCTTCTGATGTTATATGATCATAGTTTTAAAAATGATGGTTCTGGAAGCTTAAACCATTTTTGTCAAGTGATGTAAATGCAGTTTACCCATTTATTTATTTTAGAAAGGGGTATGTTGCATTTTCAGATATTTGAAGGATTAACTTAAATTGATTGAACAAATACTAATTCAGTGACTACTCCATGCAGACATCATGGCACCAGAGCAGCTGGTGCAAATGTTGTGTATGGTGGTGAAGCAGAGAGAGAAGAAAGAGATGTAATGTAAGGCAATAAATGTTCTAATAGGGATTTTTTTGGTACCGGGAATCAATCTCAGGACCTTGTGCTTTCTGGGCAGGCACTTGTGCTGCTGAGCTATATCATCAGCCCCTTCTAATAAGGTTTAGGTTTTACATTGCAAGGATGTAGCAATTCATTCTGATTGAGGGGACTTGTGAAAGTTTGATGGAAGAAATGGCATTTCATCCATGCCTTATAGAATGAGGGTTTTTTAAAAAATAAAGTTTACAAAGAAAAACATGAACTTCCTTTTGCTACAGTCCAAAATACATAAACAGAATAATGTAAAAACAGTATTTTCAAATTGAAAGCATCTTTATATCACTTGTATTTTTGAAACTTAAGACTGTAAGTATAGCAGAACTCACCAGAAAAACACAGTAAAGAAAATGTAAGCATAACTATCTTACCAATAAATTGAACAGTCACAGTTTTCAGTGATGCTTTGCAATTCTAATAAGCTGTTCTTGTGCTTTGCAAGATTTAATCGTCATAGCTGTAAGACATAATTGTATTTACTCAACAATTCTTTTTTATAGGTTTTCTGCTTACTTATCCAGAAAGAAAACTAATGTGGGTTTTACTTTTTAAAAGTAGGAAATCTGTGGCACTCAACTTGATAAAAATATTTCTTTTCTGGGGGTGCTGGGGATCGAACCTAGGGCCTTGCACATGCATAGCATGGATCTTACAACTGAGCTGTACCCTCACCCCTGAAAAGATTTTTATGTAAGTATTTATGAAAAGACTAGTCTCCTCCGGAAAGGGTCCACAGGAGTTAGGCCTCAATTCTATCTTTCTTGATGACCCACTGTGCTCCTAACACTAGTCGCTGGCAAAGAAGAGGTATGTGTGCATTCCACCTAACCTACTTATTCAGGTTTTTCAGAGAAATGCTGAAGAGTGGCTGTGGATTTCTTCTTTAGCAAAGCAACTAATTTTTCTTGTTTTATTAAGGTTTTCTGTGCATAATGTTCTTCATGCTGGCAACTTCCGAACTACTAGCAGTTGCTTTCAATTTCTGGCATACAAGAAAGTGCTATACTAGAAAGTTGTAATTCCAAATCTAGGGTATGTTTGCTTTTCATGTGACATTACTAACATAAGCCTGATTCCTCAGCACAGTCCACTTGACTTTATCCACTTAAACTTTTATGTACCATCATAGAGGTTTGTCAAGTTTTCATTATTTATATTTGACTGATTTGCTCTACAGTCTTCTTGCTTTAAAAATGAAAAGATAGAAAGGCTGACTTGTTAACCAGGTCAGATTAGTTGAACAGTATTGTGACACCCTTCTACTTCTTTTATAAATTTCTTTCCCTTCACTTTGTTTTTCTCTTTAGAATTATTTACTTACATTTAAGAGATGGTTTCCAAAATGATTATCAGGCATGCAAAGAGTAACTGGTATGGTTTTGAACTTTTCTTTTATCCTAAGGATTTGTAGTATAAAACATTAAATATTCTTTCTCTCCTCAACTAAAGTCACACAGTTTCTTCCTTTAGTATAAAATATAGATCTAGAAAATGTTGGGTAGAGTTGACTTTTTTATGTATTCAGATTCATAAAGCTACTAATATTCCATATTTTATTAACGTTTTATATGCATACTATTCTTTGTGCCAGTGACATGGAACATCAGAACTACTCTACAAGTTAATTTTGAGAACTGGTATATAAAAAATAGGGACGGTGGAATTCTAGAAGAAACTATTCTCCGTAGAAATGGTCTTGAAAAATGTCATTATGACTTAATCAAATCATAGGGAATATGTTTCATGTGTTTTCTTTAATTGGGGTTCTTTGCAGGAGAAATACGACCATGATTACAAGGTCCAATCTGAGAGAAAACAACTCAAATCAGAGGTAAAAGAGCATCACTTGGAAAGAAAACAAGACAACTTAGAGAGCTCTAGAGCCCAATTCAGGAGATCTCATGGTCAATCAGAGAGATCTCGTGGCTACATAGAAAGATCTCATCGCCGCTCAGAGCACTCTCATGGCCGCTCAGAGAGATACCATGTCTACTCAGAGAGATACCATGTCTACTCAGAGAGATCTCGTAGTCGCTCAGACAGATCTTATGGTCACTCAGAGAGATACCGTGGCTATGCAGAGCTACCTTATGGTCACTCAAGTAGATATCATGATCAATCAGGGAGAATTTATGGCCAATCAGAGGGCTATCAAAGATACTTACCAAGATACTTACCTGAAGGAAGATTTGGAACATCATTCAAAACTGACGCTACATTTGACAGGTAAAAATACAATGCATACTTAATCATTATTACAATGTGTTGAGTAATGTGGAAATGTAAAGAAAAGTATGCTTTAAATTTCTACATTTTAATGGCTAAATATCTATCTGTTGCAACAGACATGTACTGGGACAAAAGTATTAATGGAACACAGGTAATATGTACATGCGTAGGACTTTTCTTTCAACTTGTTCATGTCTTCTGGCTGTCATCCTGTTTCCCAAGGTGTCCCATTACGTTGTTTTGTCTAAATCTGCTTTCTGTGGCAGAGTCCCATGTACTTGTTAGCCTTTCCTACTACGTCTGCTCCACAATCAGAATGTGTTGACTCGGTACCCTATTCCCTTTGGACCTTCCAACCTGGTAGGAAACTACTATCATAACAAATTATGCTAAATTGATAGGATATAACTTCTGGTAATGAATTTCTGTTTCCCTTCTCTGTCTTCTTCCTAAGAGTCCTCAGGGAGTCTTTGCAGACAAGTAATAGATATGACTTTGAGCAGCTGAACTTTTGTACTTTCCTCAAATCAGACCATAGGACAGGATACCTGTTCTATCCATGAATGCAACACTGACCTCCTGAATATATCTTTAATATATT